GGTGGGTTAGTGGTAGCCACTTTATATATCAAGGCGAGCATATTATTTACGTAGCACTAATTTTCCCTTGGCATAAACTGAACCAGGTGGTTGAGGAATGCTATATACTTTAGCCTAGTATACAATGGTAACACTGCCATCCTTCATTTACATATTCACTGATTCGTTTAACAAGTATTTGCTAATCACTTACTATTTGCCAGGCACTGTGCTGAATTCTGGGGATACAAGACAAAAACAGAGCAATTCTTGCCCTCAAGGAGCTTACATTCCACGGGGGGGGGGCAGGTATGAACACAGATAAGTCAATATAGAATAGATACAAGCTTAGTATAAAGTGATTTTAGGTTGAAGGAACAACTAGGGGGATTGGGATTGGGGGAGACTTTGTATTGGAGCCGCAACTTGCATTGAAGAGGTGAAGGAAGAAAAAGGGCTTTCCAGTCATGAGAGGTTCTCACTAAAGGCATGGAGTTGGGAGCTAGAATAATGTGCATGGAGAAAAGCAAGAAACCCTGTTTGACTGGTCCTTAGAGCACCTGAAGGAAAAGTAGTACTGTGCAAATACACCTGGAAACATAGGCTGTTGCCAGACTAGGAATAGAGTCTAAGATACCAAACAAGAATTTCCATTAGTTATGGGTTTCTTCCCCCTCCCCTCCCCCTCCTCCCAATCTCTTTGTATTTATTTTGCATTTATTTTCCTACTGTATCTCCCTTGGGCAGCTAGGTGGCTCAGTGGATAGAGTGCTAGGCCTGGACTCGGGAAGTCCTGAGTTCAAATCCAGCCTCAGACACTTACTAGCTGTGTGACCTTGGGCAAATCACTTAACCTGTTTGCCTCAGTTTCCTCATCTGTAAAATGAGCTGGAGAAGGAAATGACAAACCACTCCAGTATCTACCAAGAAAATCCCAAAATGGGATCACAAAGAGTGGACTGAAATGACTCATCAACAATAAGTTATCTGGCACGTCCAAGATGAAATATGAAGTCCTTTGTTTGGCATCTTTACAACTTGACCATTTCCTATCTTTCTAACCTTCTTGCGTGCTACTCCCCTCCATGCACTCTGCATTCTAGTCACATTGACCTGTTGGATGTTTTGCACACACGCACACACAGACACACAGACACACACACACACACACACACACACACTCCATCTCCCATCTCAGTGACTTTTGCATAAGCTGTTACTCATGCCCGGAATATTTTCCCTTTCACCTCAAACTCTTACAAATCTTGATTCAAATGCCACTGTTTGCAAGGGTTTTCCCAGGTGCTAATACCTTCCCCTCTAAGGTTATTTTCCATTTTCTCTGTATATATCCACTTATTTATATATCTTGCTTCCCCTATTAGAATGCAAGCTCCTTCAGAAAGAGATTTCCAGCTTTTTCTTTGTATTTCCAGTACCAGGTACACATTAAGTGCTTAATAAATGATCGGTGATTGATTGATATTCTCTTCAATGAAAAATCTTTGATGGGTGAGAATATGTCATCTTTGTATCACAGTGTGCATAATTTTTTTGGGGGACTACACTTGTGACTTCATTGGTATAAAGAAATCCCTGGAAAAGAAACTCCCTTCCAATGTAGACCAGCAGCTTATGGCCTTGGAAAATTGCCTGGGGACATTGATTTATTAAGTGACTTGCCCAGTGTCATATGTTGTTCCTTCTCCTTCTTCTTCTTCTTCTTCTTCTTCTTCTTCTTCTTCTTCTTCTTCTCCTTCTCCTCCTCCTCCTCCTCCTCCTCCTTCTCCTCCTCCTCCTCCTCCTCCTCCTCCTTCTCCTTCTTCTTCTTCTTCTTCTCTTTCTCCTTCTCCTTCTTTTTTGAAGAGGGCCAATGACATCATGGATGATGTCTTGACTTGTGTATGAATTGGATTTAAGTGAAGCAGAATTGTACAAAGTTGTCAGCCTCCCTCTCTCTTCCTGAGTCACTGAAATACAGTGGCAAGACAGAAGTCAAGATGACTGACAATGGCCCAGGATGCCGTGGGTGACCTTGGTGTCTTTAATGCCTGACCAAACTCTAAGTACTCCATTGTTTCAGCGGTCTTCATGGCCGTTGGAACAAATTGTTCTCATCCACCTGGTCTGCCAAGGGAAGTCTCACATGCTTGGGGTAGACACTCCCTTAACTCGCCAATGGGATTGAGACCTGTTGCTTACCCTCACCCTAGGTTAGCTTGTCTGCCGAGATGGTTTTCCCAAGGTATGGCCACTGTATGTGCTGCACCTTCTTGGAGCCACAGGTGAGAGTTGGGTGAAGGTGGACCCCAAAGGTGGATGAGCAGCCCTGGAAAGGGCTGGGCAAGCCCTCACACCAGACATGCTAGTCCTCCTTGAACACCCCATACAGAAGCAGACCTAGAAGCAGCAGGGTGAGCCTTAGGAGAGACCCGAGTGTAGACGGCTCCTCCCAGTCAGACACTGAAGAGGTGGACAGACCTTTACTATCTTCTTTAAAGCGGGAGGCATCCATAGCTGAAGGCGCATCTTGACAGGGTTATCCCCAGGTGAACTACAGTAAAGCATGTACTTTTGAGAATAAAGTGAAATACGAAGTTTAACATAAGCAACATCAATTAGTAACGTTGCTCTTGGGGCCCCAGTGTGGTTCCTGCAAATGCTTCTTTGGAAGCCATCCCCCAAAAGAAAGTGGAACAACTTGGTTTTGTAAGACTTCCACCAATAATTTGAATTACGAAGTCTGCCACACGAAATGGTTGAGTTTGCTGTCTTGATGACAGTGCTATCAAGCTAGAATGGCTCCCCAAGACTCTTAAAAAAACCTGGCTATTCTTCAGCAGGAAATCCAGTTCCTTCCCCAAGAGAAAGTGTAATTTATTCTCCCCTTGTGCAGGCACAAATCAATGAACTGACTCCCTTCCTTAACCTTTTACTTTCCGTGTGTTCCGAAAAAGAGTAGTGTGTGGCTTCTTTTAAGGCATCCTTGTATTCTAACTAGCTACTGATGCTTATTTGAAACTCCATATTTCACTTTGTTTGTTCCCAGCTTCACATAGCCAGAGTATGTAAGAGGTAGGATTTGAATATTGGTCTTCCTGATTCTGAGGCCAACTTCCTATCCACTATTCTACACCGTATTTTGGCTGTGCATATAGTCAGGCAGTTGGTGGCACAGCAAATAGAGTGCTGGGCCTGGAGTCATCTGAAGTTCAAATCCCAGCCTCAGATACTTGCTAGCTGCGTGATCCTGGATAAGTCACTCAACCTGTTTACTTCAGGTTCCTCAACTGTAAAATGGGGAATAACACCCACCTTGTAGGGTTGTTATGAGAATCAAATGAGATAATGTTTGTGAAGAGTGATCATCCCAGTGCCTGGCATGAAATAAACACTGTTATAAATGCTTATTCCTTTCCCTTTAATAATTTTTTGTCCAACTGAATGGAAGCATAACACTGAAGATTATATGGCAGCATTAAAATAAGGAGTCTTCTGTATCATGTTAATTTGTCTTTTAAAATATATTTTAGTTTCCTCATCTATAAAATGGGCATAATAATACCACCTAGCAAGATTGTTATTAGGAGTGAATCAGGTAATATATGTAAACGATAAAGTGTTCTACATGTTTGCTATTATTAATTATTATTATTTTTGATGAAACAAAATATATATGAACAACTAGCCTTATGATCAAATGAGACAGTATTTGTAAAGCACTTAGCATAGTGCCTGCCATACAGTAAGTGCTATATTAATGCTTATTTCCTTTCCTTCTCTTTCTTTCTTATTCTATGTTTTTTTCCCATGTCCAGAGTGGGACATGGTATAGGAACAGAGGTAAAGGAAGAATTAGTCTCACCTCTCCATGCATGAGCACATAGTACATGTGGTACTACGCATAGTAGGTGCTTCACAAGTGTTTTTTTAAATTCAGTTGACTTAAATACATCTTGACAAAGGAGGAGGAAGGCTCAAATAGCACATGTAAGTGGTTTAAACTTTAGCCATGACATCCAAAGATATGTCATACCTACATTATAGGAAGAGTATTTGGTAGAGTTTATCAGTGTGTGTGTGGGTCCACCAGCTAAACTCTTTCATTTTTTAAATATTGAATTTTATTTTTCAATGAGCAAAAATCTATTTTCTCTTCCTCCCATCTACCCTTTTCCATGGAAAGAAAAAGAGAAACAAAATCCTTATAAAAAGAGCAAGAAAATAAAAGACAGTATTAGAGAGGCTAGGGGAAAGCAGGTTCATTAGTACACTGTTGGTGGAGTTGTGAATTGGTTTAGTCATTCTGGAAAGCAATCTGGAACTATGCCTCAAAAGTTATTAAACTGTGTATAACCTTTGACAAGATAATGGGCTTATACTCCAAATAAATCAAGGAAAAAGGGTGAGGATCCATATGTATATGAATATTTATGGCAATTCAAAATTTTTGTAGAAACTGAGAACTAGAAACTTAGGGTAGCCCATCTATTTGGGAATGGCTGACCAAATTATGGTACATGAATTTAATGGAATACTATTCTGTTGTAAAAAATAATGAAAGGCCTGGCTTGGGAAGACTTGTACAAAATGATGCAGAGTTCATTTCTTCATTTTTATTTTGACATCTATCTTGCACTGATGATTCATCATAGATTTTTGTTCTGCTCTACTAAATCTTAAGGGTTAAGGTTAATTTTTTTTTGTTTATTTTGCTTTATATCTTTTGTCACTGAAAGGAAACTCTTGCCAACTGAGACATTAATGGTCATTTTGTGTGACCCAGAAACAAAAGGTATGCACACCACCATATGCAAATACCCCATTGTGGGATTGGGAGCAGGGAAGCCCTTCAGTGCTCACTGGCCCAAAAAGGAGTAGTAGAGAAAAGAAGGCTTTGAGACTTGTGAGAATAGAATTTTCTATGTGAAAGAACTACTGGAAAAAAAAAAAGAGCCCCATACAACATCCAAGTGGAAGTTTTCTATTTACATGATATTATCAACCTTACTGAAACGTACAGCACTCGAAGATTAGGTAACTGATCACAGACGTTGTGGGGAAGAGAGGTGATCTGTGCTCCTGTCAGAGTCCTGTTGAAACACAAAATAGACACATTCTTTTATTCAGGGATTACATAGTGGAATACTTGAGTCATGGAGGTTAGAGCTAGCCAGAATCAAAGAAGTACATTGATTCTGGACAATATGAAACAACGGAACTCGTGGACTTACAGGCTTTCCAGACTCGTTGTTCCTGTCAGATCAGGAAATTCAGTAATTTGCGATGCACCATTCAAAGTCCTAAAGGGAAGGACACACTTTATGGTTATTAAGGGAAAGAGGCTGGACAGGCATAATTTTTCATCAGAAAAATGGTCTTTGGCAGAAGTAAGAACTCACAGTGTTCTCAGTTCAGGTAAATGTTGAAAAACAGATTTCCCAACAAGTTGGATTGGATTATCATAGAAGTGTCTGCCAAAAAAATAAAAATATGTTGTGTTAGTATAAAGCTTCTATAGCAAACAAATGATAGCTTGAAATACCAACAAACACATTATATTCATAATGTAATTTTGATTGTAATGTATCACACAAAGACAGGCATTGTATTGGAGTGGATAAAAAGCCAGACATGAAGTTGAGAAGACCTGGGCTCAAATCCTGCCTCTGACACACGTTATGAATCAAGTCCGTAAGTTGCCAATGAATTGCTCATTGGTATTGTGGAGGGACTTTACCCCTCTGATGAAATCACAAGTCTGGCTAAAAAAAAAAAAAGTAGCATAAAACAATTCTATTTACAAAGTGATAGGTGAATTTCAATAGTTTAAATTTACATTTAGAGATTTGGGTGAAAAATTTTGTGCTATGTATAATTACAGATCTCTCAAGGCATAACATAGTGATTGGGGAATTGGACTTTGAGCTGAGAAGACCTGGGTTCAAATCCTGCCTTAGACACTAGCCTTGTGACTGTGGGCAAGTCACTTAACCTCTATGTGTCTCAGTTTCTTCATGTGAAAACAGGATTAGAAAAGCCCTAAGGTTCCTTCTGGGTAGAATCTATGATTCCATGATATTAAGATTTGATAAAGGATTACTAAGAATTGAGAGGACATGTAGGATAATGGAAAGTACCATCAAAGGACCTAGGTTTGAATTCTGATTTAGCTAGTTGTGCTAACTTTATGATTTTTTTTTTTGTGAGGCAATTGGGGTTAAGTGACTTGCCCAAGGTCACACAGCTAGCACGTGTCAAGTGTTTGGTCTGATGCCAGATTTGAACTCAGGTCCTCCTGACTTCAGGGCCAGTGCTCTATCCACTGTGCTACCTAGCTGCCTCTTAACTCTATGATCTTGAACAAATCCCTTCTCTCTGGGATTCAGTTTCCTTGTCTGTAAAATGAGGCAGCTGGGCCAGATGACTTCTAAGATTGCTTCCACTTCTAAACCTATGATATAATGAAATAAAAGGACTCATTATTGTTCTTTACATTTAAAAAAAATATCATCCTCTGTTTTCAACATGGGCCAAATGTCTACTAGGTGATAGGAAATTCTAGATCTTGGAGTGTTTGTTAAATGTTGAAGGATGAAGGTCTTATCACACATAAAAACAAATGTACCAATAGGTCAAATTACAATAAAGTCTTAGGTATTAACTAAAATATTTAGTTGTATTGGAATTTTCCACGATTGAAATGTTTTTTAAAAATACATGAGCTACTGACTGGAATTTATTGTTTTGTTATATAGAGGTCGTTGTGATAGTATTTGTTAGAATGAGATGTAATCTGTCTAGTTAATAATCTAACCCAGGTGGAGATATTGGCTTGCCTCACCAGCTCTGTAAATCGTAGGAGTTCTAAGTCCTCATTAGGAGATATTAGCATGTCAAGAGAAATTAAAAATCAACAATGCAGCCCTTGAAGAAAAACATGTGGAAGAATGCCAATTTATCTCCCATTGAATGTGCTAATGTCTGTCTGTTAATGAGGACTAATCGTTCTTAACATTTTTTTGTTGTTGTTCCATAAAGAAATCATTACCTTGGTAGTAGACAGTCAATAGAGACAGACACTATGAATGTATAGTTTCCCGAATTATGAAATAAGACAAATAAGACGACATTAACCGGCACAATGGACTAGGTAGACAGAGTTCTTGTTTAACTGGCTAAAACCTCATGTAATTATGGATGTTGGCAAGTTTTAGGAGAATGAAAAGGATCTAAACCTCTAATGGTAGGTAAACACAGTTGTTGTTCAGTCATTTTTCAGTTGTGTCTAACTCTTGTGACCTCATTTGGGGTTTTCTTGGCAAAGATACTGGAGTGGTTTGCCATTTCTTTCTCCAGCTCATTTTACAGATGAGGAAATTGAGGCAAAGAAGGTTAAAGTGACTTGCCCAGGGTCACACAGCTAGGAAGTGTTTGAGGTCATATTGGAACTCAGGAAGATGAGCCTTCCTGACTCCAGGTCTGACGCTGAATCCACTATATCATCTAACTGCTCGAAGGTAAGTCACTCATTTTCCACAACTCTGACTTTGTTTTCCTAATGCCTTCCTTGATACCACAATACAGCCTACACCCTATGTTGTGGCACCCAGTCTGTGTCACTGGCTGAAATTTTAGTGGGGGACATTTTTCCATTACTCGCATCTATTTACTATCTTTATTCTGCTTGTGCTAGACTTATACTGTATCCTTTATGGCACCATTTTTGACAGAGCATGTTATCCTTTTTATAAGTACAGATATTGTATTAATTTAATCCTTTTATTAAATTATTTAATTTAAAATTATTTAATTAAATTAATTAAATCCTTTCAGGAGATGGGTGCCAGCATATATAAATATAGCCAGGCAGGCCTGGGCAGAAAACCAACGGCTGTGGCGTATTTAAAAGATGTGGGTGGCTTGACTATCACGGTCACTATTCTGGTTGACAACAGGTCAATGGTCTCTTGCTTCAGAGTGAGCTACCTATACCTTTGCATTTATCAATCACAGGATCACAGAATATGCAAATAGAAGGGACTTCAGAGGTCAACTCATCCAACCCATCCACGAAAGAGATTCCCACTACATTATACTTCAGTGCCTGTCCAGCTTTTCCTTGAAGACCTCTAAGAAGGAAATACGCCACCACCTCTCTCGGCAGCCCACTCCACTTTCGCAAAGTTCAATCTTGATGTCAATCCTGAATTGGCCTCTTCAGACCTTCCACTGGGTCATTCATGATTCTGCCCTCTGGGGCCAAACGGAACAAATTGAATACTTCGTATCCTTGAAAAATTGTGATCTTGTCCCCACTGAGTCTTTTCTCCCAGTTCCTTTGATTGATTCTCACATGAAGGTCTTAACACACATATAAACAAATGTACCAATAGGTCAAATTACAATAAAGTCTTAGGTATTAACTAAAATATTTAGTTGTATTGGAATTTTCCACGATTGAAATTTTTTTTTAAAATACATGAGCTACTGACTCAGGCTCTTTTTCATTCTGGTTGCATTCTCTAGACCCTCTCTTGTTTATGAGATTGTAAGCTCCTTGAGGGCAGGGCCTGTCTTTTATCTCTCTTTGTATCCCCAGAACTTAGCACTTAGTGTCTGGCATGTAGTTGGTGTTTAATGAATGCTTATTGACTCACTGACTTAACAACGTCACTTTCTTGCTGTAATCCAAACTTGACATTAATCAATTTCAATTCCACTTCTATACATACATACCTTCTTCCATTTAGGTATACTACCAGGAATAAACAGCATGGACAAACCTAGAATGTGTATTAAATCTTAACAAAAAAAAAAACAACAACCCTATATGTGGTCACTTACATTGTTATAAGGGAAGGGTTGCCTACAAATGCTTTCTCTGGTATTGACTTGATATTGTTGCTATGAAATCCCCTAGAAAGAAAAAAAAATTGTAGTATGTACAGTATTAGTGCTATGATGAAAATGATCTAATACTTTTTTTTCTTTTAATATGTAGAGATAACAAGCTTTTTTTGGGGGGGGGGAAGGGCAAGGCAATTGGGGTTAAGTGACTTGCCCAGAGTCACACAGCTAGTAAGTGTTGTGTCTGAGGTCAGATTTGAACTCAGGTCCTCCTGACTCCAAGGTCAGTGCTCTAACCACTGCACCACCTAGCTGCCCCATAACAAGCATTTCTAATGATCATGATTCATAAGTAAATGATTCTATTTTAAGATACAGTTTGCTCACTCAATTAATTTCAGTTTAACTCAATTCAACATTCATTACAGGGGTCCAAGCACTATATTTAACCCCAAGAGAGATGCCAATTTTAGATAGCCATTCTCCCTGCCTTCATGGAACTTATAGTTAGAAGGGTTTTTTCCTTTTTATGTTGTTGGAAAGCTGTTTCCAATGCAAATCCAAAACACGAGTTCCAGAAATATGCACAGATAAATAGTACTTTGAGAGGATGTTACAGAGAAAACTTCATTCCAGACAATCAGGCCTGCTAACTACTGTTAACTGTATTTGAAAATCCATATTATATCTCTGGTTCTTTGAATATCTCAAGTCTGGAATGGATTTCCACATAATAATTAATGACAATAATAATAGCTAATATTTACGTAGTGCTTATTATTTGCCAAGCCCTGTGCTAAGTGATATATACATATATGTATATGTGTATATATAAATTATATATGTATATAAATTTGATCTTCCCAACAGCTCTGGGATATAGGTGCTATTATTATCCACCTTTTACAGATGAAGCAACTGGGTAAGTGACTTGTCCAGGGTCACATAGATAGTAAATGTCTGAGGGAGGATTGAACTCAGGTCTTCCTGATTTTAGATTAAAATCCTTAGCTTCCTTTAGAGAACAGTTCAAGTGGTACCTAATACATCAAGCCTTTCTTGAGGACCCCTCCCTAACTTCCAATCATCAGCACATGCTCTTCTGAAATTAACTTGTCCTTATACATGTTATACATATTAAGGTATCCTTATACATTAGCTTGTCTGTATACATGTTGTGAGACCTATGTAACCTCTTTATCTTTGTTTTTGTACTCTCAGGGCTTTATATGATATCTCTTAAACCCTAAGCATTTAACATTTGTTGACTTGAACTGATAAATTGAATAAGGCTGATAGAGGGAATTAGAGGAATGGATTCCTGGTTTCTATTTAATATTCATCCTACATTTCTTAGGAATGTAAATGGCCTGAATTAATTTTCCTTTTCCCCCTTTACTTCTTTTTCCTTTCTCTTTCACTCATATACTACCCTAGTGTTTAGAATTGTTTTGGTCAGAAACACTCTTAATATAGTAGTAAAGAATGTGTCATGAGAAAGACGAAAACAGAAGTGAACAAAGGTGAGGGAGAAGATAGCATAGGTTCTCTGTAGAAATATTTATTTGGTTCTAGACTTGGCTCTAGGAAGATCTGAGTTCGAATCCTGCCTCAGATATTTACTAGCCGTGTGACCCTGGGTTCACTTAACTTTCCTTAGTCTCAGTTAAAAATGGGGACAATTAACATTTGTTTTGTAGGGTTACTGTCAGGATCAAATGAGAGAATACATCTAAATCACTTTGCAAACTTTAAAACATTATGGAAATGTTTGTTATTATTACTAGATATAGGTTTAATTCATGGTTGGCCCCATAAAGCCATTAGTTCAACAAGTTGCTATTAGGTATCTACTGGGGTATGAGAAGATGAGAATCCCTGCCCTCAAAGAGTCACATCTAAGATGGGGAAAACAATATTATAGCCACTCCTAAAATATTCAACAACTTCACAAACAAGGAAAAATAGAGGCACTTCAAAATTTTAATATATACACATATATATATTCATATATAAATTTTCTTCTATCAACGGTCAATAGAAAATAACTTCTACTGATTGTTATGTGTCTTTCCCTGAAATATAAACATAGATACATAAATAGAAAATATATCATGTAAATACATGGTAATTTTTTTGGTAGAAACACTGAAAACTGGTGGGGTGGGAGGGAGACAGGAAAGGACTCAAATAAAGTGGTGGTATTTGAGCTGAACCGTCAAGGGAAGTAAGATTCCCAGAAATGGAGGTGAGAAGGGAGAGCATTTTGTGCTCGGGGGCAGCCTGCCCCAGGGAAGATGATAGGCGATGAAAGCAGCACATACATTGGTTTGGCTGGAATGGAGAGTGCATTGGGGGGAGGAGATAGGTTGGAGCAAGATTGTAAAGGACTTTAAAAGTCAAATAGAAGAGTTTGTCTTTAATCCCTCTGAAGCCTCTTGAACATGGGACTGACACGGTTAGGACCATAGTCGAGGAATATCACTTTGGTCATAGCCTGAAGATTGGATTGGTGAGGAGAAGCTGTGAAAGCAGAAAGACCAACGAGAAGGCTACTGTAATAGCACAGGTGAGAGGCGATGAAAACCTGGTTGTGATGTGGGTGGAGAAGGGGAGAGAGACCTTATGGAGACAGAAAAGATAAGACTTGGCACCTGAACAAGTATAGGGAATGAGAGCAAAGTCACCCACTGCATCCCGAGCCATTGCCAGTCTTCTTGACCTTGTCTCGATACTGTATTAAGATGACTTTGGAGGAGAAAGTGAGGCTGATGACCATGTGCAGCTCTGCCTCATTTAAATTCAATTCATGCACATCACCCTGTGACGTCAATGGTCCTCTTCAAAGCAAAGGACAGACAACAGCAACAAAGAGTCAAAGAGAGCCTAACTGCTTGTCGCCATCTACTAGGAAGGCAGACTGAGAATGTGAAGTAAACTCCTGCATTTTATGTAAAAACATAATCCAGAAAGGAGGAAGAAAGCAAACGCCTTTGATTTACAAATAAGACAATAAGCAAGAAAAGTCTTTGAGAATACAACTCAATTTTTTACCCCCATCCATCAGATGGGGATCATTTCTTCCTGATCTCATTGGAAGCTGGAGAAAGAAGAAACTGAAGTTACAGTATGGATGTAGGGTAGCTCTCAGGAGGGAATTTCCTGACACTAAGGAATAAACTTCAGAAGGAAAGAAGATTCCATCACCCCCAGAGATTTGTAATAACATCACTTCTCATTTGTCTGGGACAAATTAAGCTCAAAGGCAGGGGGACAGAGTAAAAAGCATCTTTGGTCCTTTGAAAATCTCTGGCTAAATCATTTATGTGGAAAATCTCAGTTTCCCAACCCACATATGACAGTGACTTCCCAGATTTAAGTTAAGCATTTAAGAAAGCCACATATGGAATTTACTGATGCTGATCCTCTAGGGTTTTTCTTACTATTGTTTACTCTCTGCCCTCTCCCTTCCCTATATAATATCTAATTTCTCGCAGGGTCAGAAAAATACAGCTCTATGTGTATCTATCTTACTGTATAAGAACATTCTTAATATTGAGTATTCTTATTTTTAACTATAGAGAAGAATTAATTATAGAATAGATGTAAAAGGAAAGTTACTAGTTGGTTTTGTTTTTGGTAAGATATGGTCTTTTCTGATTGAAAGATAGCATTTAGATATGCAACTTAGTTCAGCATCAATTTAGCCACAAGATTGTTCTGCAAGTTTCAGAGTTGCCTTCAATGTTCACTATCATTGTATTCACCACTGTCGCAACAGAAATCTGTCAAGTGAATGGAGTAAGATAGTAGAACTTGAGAAAAGAAAACAAAGATTATATTCCAGGGAAAGACACGTAACAATCAACAGATGCTATTTTCTGTTGTCCACTTATAGAAGGAAAAAAAATATACATAATTTGAAATGTCTCTGTTTTTTCCATATTTATGAAGTTACTGAATTTTCTAGGAATAGTTACAATATCATTAAGTGAAAGTCGTTAACATTTTGTAATAAATTCCCCTGATAAAGTTTGTGCCAAATACTTACAATTCTTTGAGACTTGAGAGTGTCCTGATTGCAGTGGGGAACTCATCTAGATTGTTGTAATTTAAATCTCTGTGGAAATAAACAGATCATATTTTTGACTTCCCACTTAGAAAATAATGCAGACTGTGTCTGTTTTAACTAGGATATTCCTAAGAGCTATATTGGATATTTTCATTAATGACAGATTTTGCATCAGTTTTAGCTGCATTAAAATTAATTGGTACAAGGGAATGCAGTTCACCAAAAACACCAAATAAGACTTATTTATTGTTTCCAGATTTCCTCAAAAGCCCTATTCTGCTTTCTTACCATAGTGTGGAGTTAGCCCTGAGTCAACAAAGATTATACCAGTAGGTTCATATAAGCAGGCAAGGCTTCAAGCATAGGCCTAGAAAACAACCTGTATCTTCTGTCCAAGGAAAAGACTTCTTAAGTATAGACAGGCTTATCACCAGAAGGTTAACTGTCATGTAATGAAATCTTTTTGCCATGCTGGTTTATGAAAGAGACAAAAGCATTAACTGGTACTCAATCATGTACCTCTCTCTTCTGTTATTGCAATGATGGTAGTGGAAAGGAGGCAAAGGGAGCAGTAGGTGCTAAGAATCACCCAATTCTTGGATGGTTTATGAACATTCATTTAATTATTGGTACTTCTAAAGTAGGATACAAAGTTTAATAATCTGATATCCTATCAGAATAACTGAATCATATCCATACTAGAATTTTTCCCATGAATAAAACCAGAGGATAAAAATAAGTTGTAGGTAAATGGAAGAACGGTTCATAGGTAAATAAAGGAGTTGTCAGAGGTGACTTATGTATTATAGGCTTAAGAGCATTAGGAAGTATCATTTCATGGAACATTTGTTCATCTCCAATGATGATAAACAGACCACCATGAAGATACCTGCAGCATCTTCGTTAGGGTACATAGGGTAGGATGAAGAAATACAAAATTGAACAGGATCCTCTAAATGAAGTCAAGAGAAGCTTTATTTACTGATACCAGTAAGGTCGGAAAATGGTAAAAATTATATCAAAAATATTTGCGATCAAGAAATGACAAAGGCCACAGGCTTGTTGATTATTGGGAATTTTCACTCCTGTACATTATGAATCCTTTCCCTTTTTTACATTTAATTTTTATTTTATTTTTTCACAATTACTTGCAAACAAAAAATTTTAACATTCATTTAAAAAATTGAATTTCAAATTCTCTCCCTTCCTCTGTCCCCACTCCCTCCTTGAGAAGGCAAGTAATTTGAATTAGATTTTACATGCGTAGTCATGCAAATCATGGTGTGTGTGTGTGTGTGTGTGTGTGTGTGTGTGTGTGTGTAAGATACATACAGAATAGATGGAAGACAATCTTAGAGAGGAAAACACTAGCAGCTTAGGGTACTAGGAATGGACTCCTGATAAATGTGGTGTTTAAGCTGAGCTTTGAAGTAAACCAGGGATTCTAAGAGGCAGAGGTGAGGAGGGAGAACATTTCAAGCATAGGAACAAGTACTACACGGTCATGGATGTGGGAGATGGAGTGTCCTGTGTGTGAGGAATAGCAAGTATGTCACTGTCACTGGATTGTACAGAGTATGGAGGGAAATAGACTGTAAGAATACTGGAAAGATAGGAAGGCACCAGGTTGTGAAGAGTTTTATATGTCAAACAAAGGAGTTTATATTTGATCTTAGAGGTAATAACTATAGGAGTTAATTGAGTAGTGGGAATGATGTGGTCAGATTTAGGTTTTCAAAAATCACTTTGACAACTATGTGGAGGATGGGGAAAAACTTCAGGCAAGAAGACTAATTAGGAGGCTATTGTAATAATCCAGACAAGAAATGAAGCGGGCCAGAACTAGCATAGAGGTTGTGCATGAAGAGAGAAGAGGACATATCCAAAAGATGTTGGGAAAGTAAAAATGACAAAATTCAGCAACTGATTGTAAATGTGGGGTGAATGACATTGAGAGTTGAGGATGACTCAGATTGCAAATATGATAGACTGGGGGGGGGTGGTGTTCTCTACAATAATAGGGAAGTTCTCAAGAGCGATTACTTTTGTTTTTGTTTTCTTTTGCTAGGCAATGGGGTTAAGTGACTTGCCCAGGGTCACACAGCTAGTAAGTGTCAAGTGTCCGAGGCCAGATTTGAACTCAAGTCCTCCTGACTCCAGGGCCGGTGCTCTATCCACTGTGCCACCTAGCTGCCCCCAAGAGCAATTACTTTGGAAGAAAAGATTACTTCTTTTTTGGACATGTTGATTTTTGGAAGCTTATGGGACATTCAGTTTAAAATGTCTAATGGGCATTTGGCAATGCTAGACTGGAGCTCAGGAGGGAGATAAGAGCTGGATATATAGATCTGGGAATCATCTACAAAGAGATAATAATTGAACTCATGGGAGCTGATGAGATCACCAAGTAAGGGAGGATAGAGAGAAAAGAGAAGAGGGCCTGGGATGGAACCTTGGGGAATATTCAATTAGTAAGAATGACATTAATGAAGATCCTACAAGGGAGATTGAGAAGGAGGTAAGAGAATAAAGACAAAAGTATCTCAGAAATCCATGGGAGGGAAGGTTCAGTAGAAGTTGGTCAATAGTGTCAAAGACTGCAGAGAGGTCAAGAAGGGTGAAGACTGAGAAATGGCAATTTAGACATAATTGAAAATTTGGGGGAAATGAGCTTAGGTTGAATGAGGAGGTTGGAATCTGGATTGCATAGGGTTCAGAAAACAGGGAGAAGAGAGGACATGGAGGCTCTGAAAAGGAGAGAAGAGATATTAGGATGATGGCTGGCAGGGATGATAGGATGTAGTGAGGGTTTTTTAAAGGTGGAGAAGACTTGGACACATTTTTTTAGGCAGTAGATATGAAGAAATTGAAGATTAGAGAGCGAAAGGGGATGATAATGGGGCTATCTGTTGGAGAAGATAGAAAAGATTGGAATCAGTGGTACTTATAGAGGGGCTGGCCTTAGAAAGGGTCACTTCTTCATCAGACTTTTCCATTGGTTAATTTTTTCCATGGAGGGCAACAGAGTCTTTACTTTAGTACATTTCCCATTTTTGATGGTTAGCAGTTTACTCAAAAAGGTTGTGTTGCAACTGCTGTAATTTAATGTACTGCATTCTCACCTTTACTCTTCTTTTTAAGTTAGTGTTGACTTTTGCCTTTGCTCTAAGCAGTTGGTTCTGCTGTACATAGGCAGATAATTTTTAAGTGATTAGACACTTTTGGATGAGAAACTACGGAAATGCTGATGAATCAGGGCTCAGCAGGGCCCTAGGTTGGTTGAGAGGTGAGATTAGTGTTAACTGACAAAGCTTAGGCTGAGTCAGGAGACCATTTGCTTGGGCACTAACTCCTTAAATCACAGGCATTTCTCACAGGATTTTGAGTTCATGTCATAAAAGATCCTTTGAAGGAAATAGGTATATTTAGTCTGGAGAAGGAAAGTCTGGGAGATGGGTGACAGGAAAGCTGTTGTCAAGTATTTGAAGGACTGTAGTGAGGAAGAAGGGTTAGACTCCTGTGTGGTCCCAGAATGTAGAATTAGGAGCAATTGGATAAAAGTTGTGAAGTGATGAATTTAGATTGAGTAAGGGCAAACTTGGGCAGGTAGGTGATGCAGTGAATAGAGTGCCGGGCCTACAGTCAAATCTGGCCTCAGACACTTCCTACCTGTGACCATAAGTCACTTAACCCTGTTTGCCTCAGTTTCCTCACCTGTAAAAGGAGCTAGAGAAGGAAATGGCAAACCACTCCAGTATCTTAGCAAGAAAACCCTAAACGGGGTCATGAAGAGTGTGATATGACAAACAATTGAACAACCACTACTACCATCACCTCAACAACAAAAGGGCAAACTTCCTAATGATTAAAGCTCTCCTCAGGTGGAGCTATCCAAGGAGCAACACCATCATTTTGGGATCAGGAGCCTGCCTCAGAGTCAGGAAGACTCTGATGGAAGACTCTCATGTCCCATGTCTGATATTAGTAGATGACCCTGGGCAAATCACTTCACTTCTTGGTATCTCCAAACTACAAGTTGAAAAGTAGGTACTGATCTCCATTGGTAAAGGGGGTTTCATCCTTGAGAGTTCCCCACATCAATGAAGCCACAGATTTGGTCTTGACAAAAGTGGAATGAGCTCCTTTGGCAAATAGTGGGTTTCCCTTCCTTTGAAGTCTTTAAACAAAGGCTGGGTAATTCTACATTGGGGACTTCATAGAGGGGATTTTTTTCAGGTACGGTTGAACCAGATGACCTTTGAGGTACCTTCCACTGAAATTCTGTGACTCGGGGACCCTCTTGGGGCTGGTGGTTTCTCTGTCCAATGGAAACCCACTCTGACATGTTTTGTTGGACTTTGATGCCTTTTGATCAACCATCAAGCCTCTTTATGGCCTGCTTATTTCACCCTGGGCCTCCTGGATTCCTGTCCCCATGATCATGGATTGTGATTCTTAATTAGTATTTGGCTTCCGAACTTTGCCTGAAGATGATCTGACTAACTTTTACAGCAGATGGAGTTTCTGCCTTTAAGAGGAATGCCCATCTCTGTCTTGTGGAAGTATAATGACTCCAAGATTATCTCAGGAATATAACTAATGATTCAGGCTCAAAGCAATATATGATCCTGAGCCTGAAATGTAATGCTTAATTATAAAATGTTAGAATTGATGAGACAATGAGTAAAAAAGTTCATGAAGATACTCAAGTAACAATCTACCCTTAGCTTGGAGAGAGAGAGATGGCAGAGTCAAATATTTCTACCTTCAATCTTACCCTATTAGTCTGTACTCTGAAAGAGTTGTGATCTCCTCTGGAAACTGTATCTATGGGTGCAGATTAAAACCCCATCTGCCAAACCTTTTTTCCCCTATGTAATTCTTGTCCACAACTTTCCATAAATTCTCCATAAAGAGGCATCTACTTATTTTATTGGTGGTGGGGGAGGGAAGTGGAAAGTCTTCCTCTCTTTTTAAAAAATTTATACATTTTGTGAACTCTCATGTGGCATTCAGGCTGTCCATTTGTCCCATTATGTTCTTGAAACATATTTTCCTGTTATGCATGTCTTTTATATCTTTTCCACCACTCCTAACACCCAAGTCATCATTGGTAACACACTTCAGTTCTCCTTTTCTACCTATAATCTATCATCTTATTCATTGCCCTTTGGCAACGGAAAGATTTGGCAGCAATCATCTGAGAAAGATGTCCTTAGGCTTTCTACTTCTACTTACAATGTAACATGCTTTCCAGACTTAATATACCTTTCTTCTACACTTTGATAAAAGAAGAATAATTGTCTCTTAGTCTTTGAGAATGGCAGATTTCCCAGATGACTCAGGAAAGCCTTTTGGTCAGCTAATCAGATGTGGTTGGATATTCCTCTGTAGAGAAGAATTGCCAGTTAATTTACAAAGCGAGCTAATCTGACTGAGTCCAACATGAATCACGATTCACATTTGTCTGGTACAAACCATCACTAAGCCACATGGCAGGCAGGAAATAATGTAGGTTGTGGACATAAATTTCCTTCCTGTTGGTAAATCCCTCCAGATGCTATGTTTTGATTAAATGAGGCTTGGGCCCTTATAAATTACTTGATTTCCAGTAAGGGGGGGTGGAGGAGGGAAATAGTATTTTGGAAGAAACATAGCACCGATTCACATATCTTCTATAGACTTATACAAAAAAAAATTCTTGCATAAACTTGATATAAAGGAAAGGGGGAGAGAAAGGAACACATGTATTAAGCGCCTACTATGTGTCAGATACCGTGCTCAGTACTTTACAAGTATTATAATATTTCATATTATCACAAATGTCATCGTGAAGACTTAAAGTGTTAAGTTTAACAGACACCGGCCATCATGCACCCTCAGCTAGTTCTTTGTGAGGAAAGAACAGAAAGTATGTAGTGGGGATCACTACTGAAACTTGCTTATATTCTTTTTAAAGAAACCAGGAGTCCTGAATTTGGCTCAGAAGCACAGGAACTAGGGTATTAGTTTATGATTGCCAAGACTCCTAGCTCTTCCTTGGGTAGGGCATTCTAATTATTCCCAAAACATGATGGTTCAGACCTCATTCTACATGTTGCTTGCCTATTCTCTTGGTGCCTGAGAGGAATCTCTTATTTGATTCTCTAAGGCAACTCATTACTGGTTCCCACTGTCCATAAAAGCAGCCAATATGGATGGCTCCCCCAAAAAAAGCATTTGTGGGAGAAGCTAGAGTAATCTCGAGCACTTTCCCCCTAGCTTTTGTGTTGAACTAGACTTGCACATGAATAATGGATTCCAAAGTGATGGTGGAGGGTTTTCCCCTTCCCCATTCATAACTTGAACCAATGGTGTAGACCAGGGGCATCTAAACCAGGCTAAATTAGTCTATTGTCAATTTTCCTTTTTTTTGGCAAATAAATTCTAGGGAGTTGCTGTGTCCAGAAACTATAGACACATTCCCCTTCTCTGCCTACTTGAGGACCTAATGGTTGAAACTTCTTCAGCTGCTATTGATAGCCTGGTGCCTTTTTCACTATGTTGGTCAGTCTGGAACTGACTTAGAAGCCAATGGTTATCTGATTTGGGGTTATCAATCTCCCTATAGTATCAAAAGATGTAACATATATAAAACTCTTTGTAAATGATTAATTGTATTATAATTATATCTTATATAATTATATTTATAATTCTATTATAATTACAATTACTATTTTGTGATCTACCTTGATGCAAACTCATAACTGAGTTTCTAGACTTATTCTTTTGAACTATCTCTTAATTTGGATCTTAAATTTTTCAGTATGACTTTTTGGCCATTACTGATTTTCTTTGAGACATCTGTTGTTAACATTTTTTGCCCTCCCTTTTTCCCTTGTAAAGGTAGATCTGAACTCAGTAATAATAAACCTGAGGGATGACACTCAATTGATCCCTTAAAATGAATTTTTTTTATAGTCAGACAGTGATTTCCACTATACAATGCCTGGCACATAGTAGGCACTTTAATAAATGTTTATGGACTGAGTGATTCAGAATAATGTGTCTTGATTCCCTGATAATGCACTCTCTAATAAGTTTATTATTTTTTTTTCCATTATTGGTCCTTTAAATCTCAGGTTTTTTTTTTTTAGAAATGAGGGTGTGTGTGTGTGTGTGTGTGTGTGTGTGTGTGTGTTATAGCCTTTGTAAACAACACACTCAAGGCCAAAAAGCACGTTTTGCTTTTAAAGCTGTTTTGATTCTTCAGAATATTAATGAAAACACTGAAAAAGGGAAACAATTAAGAGGTCAACTCACAAAGTCTCTAGGCTGTGGAGCCCATCAAAGCATTTCTTTCCCAGGGAGTAGATCTTATTGTTATGGAGATGTCTGTAGGAGAACATTAAGGACACAGTCAGGGGAGCACATTGAACACAGTGGATTTAGGCAAAACATTTTGATTGGTAAAATCAAAAGAAAACACATACAAATAATGCTTTGCAAAAAAAAAAAAAAGCCAGAGGGAGGGCCTGTATTTTTTCTTTCATTCAAACATAAACACATAGCTGATTCTGTACCTTGGCTTTAAATTTAGTAGATAGACATTGATTTCTTTTGAGTTGGAAGGTCAGAAAATACATAATGATATGACACAAGCATTATACAGGTCAACTAAAAATCCTAATAGGTTGGTTGGGACTTACAAAATAGAGAGATGTGGTTTTGGGAAGGAGGATTCAGAGGATTTGCCTTAACTTGATGACTTCCTTGTCATTGCTAAACCCAAATTCTTTGAAGACAAAGCCTAAAAAGGAGTAGGGCAGTTTGTGGAGTTCCTAGGTTTACTAACCTAGGTCTGTGTTAAAACTGAAGGCTTTCACTTTGCACTCAGGAGGGCATTCAGTGAATAACACATTCCTGTATCAATATCAAGTGACAGTGTACAGATTAGATTTGTTGTTCAAAGAGATCAGCTCTCTGAACGTTATGGAGGCATGGAATAACCCCATATAAGCTCAGTGGCACGCTAAAGAAGTCATAGACCGGATCCCCATAGAGACCAGTCAGTACGTTTTCATTCCATGGTGAAATTCTAAACTCCTAACATGAATTTTGGAAATTGGTCACCAGGTGAACTGTGTGGAGTATGGAAGGATCCATGTCAATCTATCACCACCACTGGGATGCATGTCCCAGGAATTAATTAATTAATCAATCAATCAATGAATCAACAAGCACCTACTATGTGGCAGGTGTAATACTAAATGCTGGGCATACAAATTCAAAGAATGAAGCAATTCCTACCCTCAAAGAATGGTGGGTTGGTATCTTTCTACTTGAAGAACAGCATAGTAGGTGTCTTTTAAATGAGGCAATATATGTAAAGCACTTTGCAACCATTATGGGAGCCAGGTTAGCATGAGAAATTACACGATAAAAATTACCATAAATTGCTTATCCTATGAGATTGTGGTTCATTTTCTGAAAGATTTATTAGTACTTCATGTGAGGTTAACCAACTCCTATTTCCCTGAACCAGTATTCATTCTATATAGCTCCTTGAGTGCAGGGGTGTATGTATGTTTTTGCCTTTGTATCTCAAGTGCTTAGCACAGTGCCTGGCACATAGTAGGTATTTTATAAAGGTTTGTTGACTTGGCTTGACTTGACTCAGAGCTATCACTAGCAATTTTGGTGTCAGGGCAAGCAGCAACGAATGACCCTCAAATCACCAATCAAAGACAAATCTAGTTAAGGGAAGGGAGGTAGAGTAAAGACCCTGGGACACTATTGCAGTACTAGGGTGGGAGATGCGAAAAGCAGAGCCAGGACAGGCCTGAGGCACTGTAGAATGGGAATGGTAAAGAGTGAATGACGGTAGGGGGCACGTGGAAGGAAGCATGTCATCTGGTAGATTTTTATTCTTGCTACTCTAGGTGCTAAGCTCAGTTGTTTCTGTTAAAGTAGTATAAGCTCGTAAATACCTTCTACATCTCAGGGAAGTGAGGAAAGTAGGTATTTATATAGCACTTACCATACGCCAGGTAGCTGTGCTAAATGCTTTTTACAATTATTATCTCATTTGATCCTCACAACAACCCTGTGAAGTAAGTGCTATTATTATCCCCATTTTATCATTGAGGAAACTGAGACAAAGTGACTTGCTCAAGGTCATACACCCAGTAAGTGTCTGAAGCTAGATTTGAACTCAGGTCTTCCTAACTCCTAGACTAGCACTCTATCCACTGTTCCACCCAGATGCCTACTCTGACCTAACTTGGATCATCTCAGTGGTATGAGGGCAAGTCCCTATCACACGCTTCAGTTATCCCTCTGATAATCATTGTCTTCACAGCTCCTAATTGTAAGACCATTTATTTTCATAAATGCTATTTGAGAAAATATTCAATTAAATAAGAAAATAAATCTACATGTTTCAGGAAAAAAAACTTTAAAATAATACAGATGCATTGAACAATACTCACGTATTTGATTGATTGATTGATTAATAAGAAAAAGGGATTTGGACTTCTGTTATAAACTGTGACATAAAATGGATATTAAATATTAAATAAATAGACCACTTACAAACCACTCCATGATATGAGCATGTTTTGTCATTAGGAAAGAAAATGTCATACCTTAAAATCCTGATCAAAGTTTGAGAGTTCTGCATTTTAAAGTCTATGTTATATAGTGACATCAGAAAGTTTTCTTTTAAAAAAAATTCAATAAAACTTACAGTACTACCAAACTGGAGAGGTTTCCAAAGGCATAGTCTGGTATGTGGTGTATTTTGTTCAGAGCTAAGGTCATGGCCTGCAATGCTGATAAACTCCTAAAAGCCTGGACAGGGATTTCAGTCAAAGAGTTGTCATCTAGCCACAGGTGTCTCAGGGAGATCAGGCCATTAAAGCAGTTGGGTGGGACGTAGTTGATTTGGTTGGCATCCAAACGCCTTAGGAAAAAAAAGAAAGCAAAATGTTAGCAGAAACATGGCAACAAACTTATTTGAGATATGGTAATGGACTGATGATCCAAGTGTGTGTAAAAGAGAACTTTGATCTGTCCTCATTTTTTGGCCCCGGGGTCTCCTGATGTCTAGGGTACACATATTTGATTGATTGGTTAATTAATTTAAAAGGATTTGGACTTTTATTATGAATTGCAACAGAGAAAATGGGTATTAAATAAATAGATAAACCACTCCATGGTATGATGTCTTCTCTCTTATACTTTTGTGTTCTTTATCTGTTCGATAAGATGAACTCTTAGGTCCCTACCAGCTAAACAATTCAGATTCTAGGATTCTCTTTGAGTCTTAGACTACCAGTCAAATTGGATCTAAAGCTTAAATCAGCCTCCTTTTAGTGGGATTTGGTCAGTATGCTTTTCACTGGGAGGAGGTCATCACTTCAGAAGGCTGAGGTTTCAGGATTCCTGATCTTTTAGCTTCTTTTCATGAAACCAGGAGATAGGTCTGTAATACAAAATGAATGCCTATCTCTTGACCACCAGTTAAGGACATATTACAGTACAATGGAAAGACCACTGGTTTTGGAGTCAGAGTAACTGGGTTCAAATCCTGCCTATGATCTGTTCAAATCCCATCCCTGAGTGACCTTGGGTAAGTAATTTCCCTGGATCTTAGTTTCCTCATCTGTAAAATAAGGGGCTTTGAGTAGATTAGAGGGGTCAAATATGTGGCGCTGAACACCACAACATGCTTGCCAGAAACAGATTGAAATGTAAATAGGAAATATTTAACAAAATAAATAAAAATGCAATAGAACATAGATAATATTACATATTAAAACTAAATCAATATGCAGCCCATAAAGACCCTTACATACAATTTTAAAAAATTAAGTTTAAATTGTCTCCTTCCTTCCCTCTCCACCCTACACTAGAGAAGGTTGCCATTTGACACAGATACATAAATATATGTAAAACTATATTATACATACTTCTATTTATCAGTCCTTTCTCTGGAAGTGGATAGCATCTTTCTTCATAGGATCTTTGTAGTTGATTGGAATATTCATAATACTCAAAATAACTTGGTCATTCACGGTTGTTCTTTGAACAATATTGCTGTTACTTTATACAACATTCTCATGGTTCTGCTCATTTCACTCTTTATTATATACAAGGACACTCCTAAAGTCTCTCTTAAGAACTTTGGAAATGATTGTGTGACAGGGGAGACATTGGCAGAGGACCGCTCAGTAAGGTGTGCCCACATCAGAGAATGGGCTGTTCTCTATGAGCAAAGCAGAATTGAAGGAGCTCAAGAGAAATGTGAGATGAGCAAATTTAGAGAATCCAAATTTTCACATGGAATATTTGTGCCCCATTTGTGGTAAAACGTTCTGAGCTTGTATTGGTCTGATCAGTCACAGCTGGACATAGCATAGTGACGTCGTTTTGGTCCTCTTTGAGATTGAAGGACAACAACCATTTCATGCGAGTCTTTCCATGTTTTTCTAAAACCAACCAGCTCATCATTTCTTACAGCTCAGTAGTATTCCATTACAATCATATACTATAATTTAGTTTAGTCATTCCCCAACTAATGGGCATCTCCTTAATTTCCAGTTCTTTGCCACCACAAAGAGAGCTGCTATAACTATTTTAGAACATACGGAACATTTAGAACATATATAGAACATATTCCCTGATCACCTTGGGAAATAGACCTAATAGTGGTATTGCTAGGTCAAAGGATACAAGTTAGTTGGCCCCTCTACCCCCCCATTTCTATCTGAGTCTGACACCTCTGTATTAGCTAGCCTCTAAGGTTCCTATCAGTTCTAGGTGGATGAGCCTATTGGCTCCTAGCCTATTGGCTAGTTCACCTAAGCTCCAGAGATGATTATCTCAAGCTTGAATGGTGGTTACGATGACTTCAAAGGCACATTGCACACCAAGGAAGAGTGAGTTGTTATTTTTTTAGCTGATACCATTAAATAATACCATTCAATATCATTAAAAAAATCAATACCATTAAATACCATTAAAATACCATTAAAATACCCTTAAATAAATACCATTCCATACTATTAAAAAAAATCCAAAAACAGATAACATCTCTTACTGATCCTAGCTTTTTTCCCCCCTTCACTTTTGGTGGGTACAAGTTCTAATGACATTTCCAGTGAATAATAAAATCGATGGCCTTGTTGGCATCTGTTTCCTTTCCTGCCCACCAGTCATTGGTGTTTATGTGGCCATGTCTGTGTCAATGTCGTGCTGGTTAATGAACTGTTGTTGCGCCAAAGCCAGCAGGGGGCGCACATATGACGCATTCTTTTCACCTGGGTCCAACTCTTAAAAAGGGCTGGAATTTGGTCACATTGGATTCTTGCCTTGAAATGACATAAGTCATGCATGCTGGTCTGGGGAAATCCTGGATGAAGTATAGATGATCAATAAAATCAACATGATTCTTATATGCTTCTGACAGCATATAAGTATGTATATATTTCCTACTCTTGTTCGGCACACAAGTCCATTTCAAAATTTGTCTTTTTTTTTTTTTAGTTCATTTTAAAACTTGCTATACACTAGAAGGATGTTTATAAAAGTACAAATGGATTCTGAAAAATGTTTTTTGGAAGCCCTTAAGACTGAACAGATGCAGGAAGCATACCCGGATAACAAAATAATCCCTCTGCAAACCAAACTCAAACAGTTTGGAGATAGGGGAAAATCTCCAGGGTAGTCAACTAATCTCTTTGTTTAATGGGGCTTCCTCATTTTTAGTCCCCATAATGTCAGGTCAGCTCTGTCTCCTGGTCCCTATGCCTACCCACTGAATAGGAGCAAATCTTCCCTCCTGAGGCACCAGGCCAGATTCTAGCAAATAACTCAGAGAAGGTCAGTTGGAACAAATGTTAAAGGTTCAGTGTCAAAGCCCTCTTACAATTAAATTTCCAGTATGATAACTGACATGGCAGGCAGCAGAAACTCCACTTCTAAAACAGCATAAGGTTCTGTCAACAAATGGAGATGGAAAGGTTTAGGAAAACTCAATGCCGTTTCTCCTCTACTGTCCAGGCAACACTAGGCTTATGTTCTAAAATTAGGAATAGTTTGCTTAGGGGCAAGGAGGTAATTGTTTGGTTTAACTAAAAGTACAACACCTTTTTTTAAACTGTGATATGGTGGTATGTGAACCAAGAGGTTTCAGGTACTCTGTTTATTTTTCCAATTAACAGGTATTCATTTTTTCTTCTTCCAAACTCAATCCTTCATGGGAGGGGGCAGCAGAAAGAAAAAAAAAACACTCTTGTAACAAATATGTGAAAACAAACAAAACAAATTCCAACATTGGCACCTTCTAAAAATATATGGTGGATCCTACATCTTGAATCCATCACCTTTTCATCAAGAGGGGAGTAGCGTGGGCTCATCATTAATCTTCTGGTTGGTCATAGCACTTTTTAAGTCTTTCTGAGTTTGTTTTTTACAGTGTTGTGATTATTGTCAAAATTGTTCTGCTTCTTACTTCATTCTGAATCAGTTCATTTAAGTCTTCCTAAGGTTTTCTGAACTCTTCCCTCTTTGTATATATATATGTATATATATGCATATATGTACATATATATTTATATATATATATATATGTAGTGATGGACTCAAGATGCAAAATGCCACATTTATTCTTGGACATGGCCAATGTAGGAATGTTTTGCTTGACTATATACATTTGTTACAAGAGTTTTGTTTTTCCTTCTTTTTTTCTCCCAATGGAGATGTGGAAGTGGGATGGAAAGAAAATTGACCCCTATTAATTAAACAAAAATAAAAAAGAGAATGCTTGTAATCCTTTATTTTACATAAAACTGTTCTGTTACGTTTATAGAGCATAATTTGTTCAACAATTCCAATTCAACTCAACAATATCCACTAAGTGCAAAGTATTATATATATATATATATTTGATGCTTGGGTTCAAAAAAACCAAGAAATCATCTCTATTCTAAAGATGTTCTCATTCTCTTTTAATTGCTATTACTTAAAGGATTGAAACTTTTTTTTGTTTTTGGTCTAAACTTGTGATTTCATCAGAGAACTTATGAGTGAAGAGTGGGAGAGACTTGAGGGAGGGAACCCAATTAAGAAGCTATTGCAATAATCTAGGTGAGAGGTGTTAAGGGCTTGAAATAAGGTGGTAGCTGTGTGAGTAAAGAGAAGGAAAGCAAGAAATGTCATGGAGGTAGGAACCACAAGATTTATCCACTGATTGGATTTGTGGCATGAGAATGCCTTGGAGAATGGAAGCATGGTAGTGTTTTTGATAGAAACAGGAAAATGTGGAAGACAGGTGAGTTTGGGGAAAGACATGTTCTGTTTCAGACATGTTGAGCTTGAGATGTGTGGCATGATAATAATGACAATAATAATAATAATAATAACTAGCATTTAAATATCACTATAAGGTGTGCAAAACATTCTTACATCTATTATTTCATTTGAGCCACTCAACAACCCTGTGGGAGTAGGTGCTATTATTATATCCATTTTTCGGATGAGGATACTGAGGCTGAGCATTGTTTAAGTGACTAACTCTAGGACACACAGCTAGGTGGTACAATGGGTGGTGTGGCTGGCCTGGAGTCAGGAAGACTTGAGTCCAAAACCAGCTTCAGACACTTATTAGCTATGGAACCATGGGCAAGTTATTTATCCTCAGTTTCCTTATTTATAATATAGGGATAATAATAGCACAATCTTTCAGAGTTGTGTGAGGTTCAAATGACATAATATTTATAAAATGCTTACCACAGTATCTGGCATGTAGTAGATACTATATAAATGCTAGCTATTAGTAGTAGTAGTGGTAAGTCCCTGAGGGCAGATTTGAACCCAGGTCTTCCTGACTTCAGGACACTCTATGCACTAAACCACCTAGCTGCCTATGAACAGTAGCTGCTGTGTAAAGCTTGGCTAGTT